CTATAGTCCCAGCTACTTGGGAGGCTGAGGCAGGAGAGTTGCTTGAATCCAGGAAGCAGAGGTTGCAGTGAGCCAAGATCGCATCATTGCACTCCAGCCTAGACGATGAGCAAAACTCCATCTCGAAAAATAAATAAATAGAAGAGTTCCCAGCCTGTCTTGCAGCTAGGAGGTCCCTTGCCTCTGCCTCATGCCTTTGCCTCCTGCCTGGTCAACAGGACACGCCAAGTGCCAATTTTTTTTTTTTTTGAGATGGAGTTTCACTCTTGTTGCCAAGGCTAGGGTGCAATGGCACGATTCTCGGCTCACTGCAACCTCCACCTCCCAGGTTCAAGCAATTCTCCTGCCTCAGCCTCCCGAGTAGCTGGAATCACAGGTATGCACCACCACGCCCAGCTAATGTGGTTTTTTTAGTAGAGACAGGGGTTTCTCCATGTTGGTCAGGCTAGTCTCGAACCCCCAACCTCAGGTGATCCACCTGCCTCAGCCTCCCAAAATGCTGGGATTACAGGCGTGAACCACCGCACCTGGCCCTAAATGTTTTCGAAAGGAGGGGCATGTTCTTCTTCATCCCCTTTTCTTCCTGCTGGCTGAAATGCAGACATGTTGGCCGCAGCTCAACAGCCACCTTGTGCTGTGAGGCAAGGGCCATATGTTGAAAATGGCACACAGCATAGAGTTAGAAGCTCAGCAGCCCAACCTCCAACCTTCCCAGCTCCAGGCTGGGAACCTCCCATCTTTGTTAACCTGGGAACTCTTACACAAGCCAGTTGTTTTTCAATTTTGTTTTAGAGCATATGCAGCTAAACCTAACTCTTCTTCATAAATCTCCCAGAGGCCCAACTCTGGAGAGCAATAGGAGGCAGGAGCCCAGATGCCTCCACAGCACGGTGAGGGGCTCCTGGAGAAAAGACAAGTTCTCCAGAGGGCTCTGAATCCACCACCCCGATCCTAGAATTGGTCAAATCACTGTGACTCAACTTCCCTGGTCTGCTGGAAGAACTGAAGACACACACGGAAAGGAGTGGCTAAGAATTTAATACTGGTAAACACTATAAATTGTAAATGTAAGTTGTAAATGACCTTGTCACTGGAGAGGGGAGAAGGAACTGGAGTCAGACATCCCAGCAGCAGCAGCAGTGGTGACATGCAGTAGACACAGCCAGAGAGCAACAGGCGCTTTGGGAAGTAGTTCATGCACGTGGTCTTATTTTAGTCTCAGGGCAGCCCTAAGAGGTAGGTACCTTATGTCATCTTACACATGAGGAAACACACCAGAGAGGTCAGCACCGCAAGAAGCTCATGCAGCGACCAAGCAGCAGAGCCTGGATTCAAACCTGAGCCCTGCTGTGTGCAAGAACCCCTGGGACTCAGCTGTTCCTGCTCACAGCAGGCTGAGCACCAGAGCCACCTGGAGGGCCCATAATAGGCACCACTCTGCCCAGGCACGAGGCAGCCAAGTAGCACATGCCACCCAGGGAGGACAACAAAAAGGTGGCAGGGAGAGCAGGTGGGCGGAGCCAGAAGGCCAGGCCAAGGTGCTCAGCACAGTCCCTGAGGTGCCTTTGCCATAGCCGGTGCAGCCCTCAGACTCCCAGCAGCCTTCATGAGTCGGTTTTGATGGTGACATGGGAGAGGGCCTGCCCACTCCCAGGTACAGCATAACTGAGCCACAGTCACTTAGCCTGCCCCACTGCAAGCCCTGGCTGCTGGCTGTGGAGAGAGGACGGCCCTGCAGACTCTGCCTCACTGCTCCCCCCGCTCCAGGAGCTCCCACATCACGGTGGGTAGAGCCCACAGTCCTGTCGCAGGTGCCCCTCACCACACTGTCCTGTCATCCTGACTCCACAGTCCATGGTCGTCAGCGAGCCCTGGGAACACAGCTCACTCCCCTTTGTGGTCCTAGTGTTTAGGACCCAACATAGCTCCTCTAACCAAGGCACAACCTGAAATTCTTTCACTCCTGCCCAGGACTGACAAGCCGGGACAAACAAGGGACAAGGTTTCCATCAACTCACCCATCTGGAAGGAGTGTGAAGACATGGCCCCTTGTGGAGTTCTAGCTGGCACCCACAGGGTCTTCTCTAGAGGGGCCACTTTTGTGCAAGTCAAGATGTAACTGCTTTATTTTTTCATGTTTTTTGAGACAGGGTCACACTGTGTCGCCCAGGCTGGAGTGCAATGGCATGATCTCAGCTCACTGCAGCCCCCACCTCCAGGGTTCAAGCGATTCTCCAACCTCAGCCTCCCGAGTAGCTGGGATTACACACGTGTGCCACCACACCCGGCTAATTTTTGTATTTTTAGTAGAGACAGGGTTTCACCATGTTGGCCAGGCTGGTCTCAATCTCCTGACCTTAAGTGATTTGCCCGCCTCGGCCTCGCAAAGTGCTGAGATTACAGGCGTGAGCCACTGAGCCGGGCTGCAATTGCTTTAAAAAGAATTAATTAATCCTTCCATGTTGGGCCCCGCCTGGGAGATACTGAAAGTCTGGGGACGCTGCCCCAGTGTGGTGATGGGGAATGACCTGGGACTCGACTGCTTCTACCACTTCAGTGTCAGCTGAGGAGACTCCTGGGGCCCAGGACAAGGCAGAGGCACAGAGGCTCCTCGGTGAAGGGCATGGGGGGCACTGCTCCCCCACTGGCCTCAGAAGCCTGCTTTTCAGAGCAGCAGGTGGGCTCTGGATTCTAGCAATGGACACACGGATCCTTAACCCTGGTTAGTATCTTAACACAGGGAGAGCTATACAAAAAACTAGCCGGGCGTGGTGGTGGGCACCTGTAGTCCCACCTACTTAGGAGGCTGAGGCAGGAGAATGGTGGAACCTGGTAGGTGGATCTTGCAGTGAGCTGAGATCAAGCCACTGTACTCCAGCCTGGGCCACAGAGCGACACTCCGTTTCAATAAATAAATAAATAAAACACAGGGAGAACTGGACTTTATTGTAGCCACAGGACAAACTGCTGGAGACAGACCCATGGGCCCTGACCATTTCCACCACCCCAGAAACCTGCCGTGTGCGTGGTATCATGGACAAACAAATCACAAGCACACAAATCTCTGATGAGTTCCAGAAATCTGATGAGTGCCAGGTGGGGTGCACATTTGGGAAGATGCCCCAGCGTG